GGCTGGTGCCCACACTCGGTGCCTGGCTGGGGCCTTGTAAGAAATCCAGGAGGCGTTTGGGAGTTCTGGAGGACGTGGTGGGAGTCGCTGAAATATCCTCCAGGGCAGAGACCTTGGTCGTCCCCATTGGGTCCTGGTGCCCGCCTAGTACAGTGCCTGGCACATGGTGGGACTGAACTGGCCAGTTGTTTTTCCGCCATCACTTTATCCCAGCTGTGGAGTCTGTGCCCGTCCCCCGGTGGCTGCCCCTGCTCCGGCTGATCACAGCCTTGCGTCTGAAGGTGCCCTGGAGAGTGGGCTCCGTGTCTCTTGTCTCCTTGTGGGGACTTTAGTTTACATCACCAGTGTTTTGGAGGCCACACCTGCTGTTGTGGCTGGTTTTAGTGGGATGGAATTACCGGAAGCTCTGCTCACGGAGGGTTGGCATGACTGAGCGGGGTCACCCCAAGCGCCAATGGAAGATGCTCCCCACTTTTAAAATAGGCGTCTTGCTTCTCCTCCACTCCACTGACTTCTCTGAATTCCTGAGTCTCTGACCCACTCCCCAGGCCACGGTCATGGGACAGGCTGGCTGAAAGTCCTCAGTGAAATGACGGGTGCTGGAAATAGTTTTGTTTCCCTTAGAACCTTCCCCTTCCCCCCTTTGAATACACACAGACACACACACATGCACGCGTGCCTGCACACACACACACGCACACAGCTGCAGAAAGCTCTCAGACCTGCTTAGTTTAGTCTGCAGAGGCACCCCCGGCGGTGGGCCTTAAACATTTGCATTCCTTGGGCTTAGCTGCTGCTTTGCAGCGTCGAGTTTCTGGGTTAGCGGTGCGCGGAGGGTGAAGCCAGAGCTCTTTACAAAGAAAGCACTTGCGTGTGGTGGAATTCCGAATATCCTGGATGGCTCGGCCTGGCCTCCCAGCTCCAGGGCCCGTTCTTGGGAGAGAGCAGACCCTGTGCAACTTTTTCTGGACCTGCCCTGACCTCCTGGGCGTCACCTTGGTACCTGCTGGAGAGGTGTTCCAGCTCCGTTCTTCAGACCTCTAGTGAACACTTACTCTTCAGCCACAGTGGCCAAGAGAGCCAGTCGAGCAGCTGACACACCGGTGAGGGAGACAGACAGGAACAGCTCGTGAATGCTCTGCTCATCACATCTGAGACCCACCGAGAGGAGGAGTGGCTGGTGTCTAAGAAGCTGCCGCTTGTCGCTGTGGCATGCGTTTGACTCCAGGACCAGCTGATTTCAGCAACATTACCATGCGAGTCGTACTGAGTCACGAGAGGCAGCCTGGGGGCATTGGGCGGGCCAGGGCATTGCCGAGTTCTGGGAGGGTTTGGTCCGCCGCAGGGTATCTCGGGTGGCAGTTTATGGGGAGGGTGGGCTGGTGCTGCAGCAGCAGCAAGGCCGTGCCCATGGGCGCCGTTGACCGAGTGCTCGCTGCACGTGGCTCTGTTGGGCTCCCGCTGTTCATGTACTTACTGCAGCCTCCGACCCTGTGGGGGAGCAAGCACGATGCGTCTGTTGTACAGGTGGGCAAAGGCCGTCCCGGATGACTCACTCCTGGGAACAGCACTGGGCAGAGGATTTCAATGCCTGCTCCCCCTGGGCTCCCATCCCATGAGGGCCTTGCTTGGCTCTTTCTTAATGACCCAAATCCCTGGGGCTTTGTCCTTGGTGCCTGAGTTCCTTCTTTTTTGTCTTGGACCCGTCTCTGTAGCTTTTCTTTAACAAGCCCTCGGTGTGTCCCAGGCCCCGGCATGCGTGTGCACTGACTTCGTCCAACCCTCAAACCATCCCTGTGAGGTTATCGTCCTCGTTTTGCAGATGGGGAAACCGAGGCTCAGAAACTGCCAGGCCATAGCTGGGGGAGGGTCAGATGTGGGATTCCAGCCCAGGGTTGTCAGCTCCCAAGCCCCTGCCTGGCTCTCACTTTCACGAGTTTTCAACAGATTCTCCTTTGTTATTTCTCCCCAATTTGTATGGTGACTTGACCTGTTGGCACGCAAGGTTTAGAAGTACCGGCTTGATGGTTGACTGAGAAGGCGTGTCTGTGGAGAAGGCCAGGGTGCAGGTGTTCCTCTCAGAGCCTGTGAGAAACAGAGAGATGGGCGGAATCCTGGGGAGGCCAGGACCACCTCTGGTTCCACCGAGGCTGAAAATTGGCCGATATTCTGAAGGATCAGGAGAGCTGGCACCAGGTGGCAGGTGGTGGTGTAGTTCAGTCCTGCTCTGGCCACTCCGACGCTCGGCAGGAGGCTGCCTTGTGGCGGGGGTGGGGAGGGCCTGTGATGGAGGGGAGGGCCGTTTCGGGCCATCAGACACCTCGAGCCCCCACCCTGGCCCCTCTTTCCTTTGTTGTCTGGCTGCGTCAGACGTCTGGCCTACAGGGAGGTTCCTGAACGGGCCTTGGAAATAGGTCACTCCCTTCCCGTGCCGCCGACACTGACCTGCATGTGACCTTCCCCCTGGTGACAGTGTCTAGCTGTCTCTCTTTGATGCTGGCTGTGGAGGGGCAGCGAATGTCTAGGGGCAGGGTGGCCGCCGCTCCCCTGCTCTGGCCTTCGAGGACTTCTCAGCCTCCACAGCGCCCGCCCGATGCTCCTGCCAGTGGCCCCTCCTCCCTTCTACCATGTTGGAAAGGGGAAACCCACACTCCCGACCCTCTGTCTGAGCATCCGACCTTTTCCGCTCCGTGAAGTGCCCTGGCTGGGCTGGCGGCTTTAACTGTCTCAGTGGAACAGACTAATGCCTGCTGGGCTCGAGCCGAGGGGGCTGGCGGCTCGACTTGGCCCCTCTCCGGCCCCCCAGTCCTTCTGCCTGGCACTCAGCAGCAGATGCTCCTTCCACAGAATTGCTGGGGTTTTCTGTTTCTCCCCCTGGCTGGCATGGGGAGTCGTCCCTCAGGGCCTGTTGGCGGAGACCATGGTGGATCTCGGAAGATACTTGCTGGATAGCCCGGGTGCCAAAGCTGACCTTCGAGGGTCTGTTCTGCCATGTCGCCCGGTGCCTGGAAGTCAGTGCTGGACCCCATTGCCCCTCACCTGGGCCTGGAGCCCTGTCTGCAGTGGACAGCTTAATTTGGGCTTAATTTTTAGCCTTCGTGGAATCCAGATATGCACAAAGCAGAGAAGGGAGAACGCTAGACATGTCTCCATCCAAGGAGGTGGTTTCTCTCTCACACCTGGCTGCCCCGGTATCTTCAGGCCCTGAAAGCCTGAGCTGGGCAGATCCTGAAGATGCGGCCTTTGCAGATCGTTAAGGCTTCCTGGGCCTGAGCAAGACAATACCGTGTCCGCACCATCGACATCCCACTGCTGGGCTTCCGGGATGATAGGGAATAAGTTTCTGCTGCGATGCTCACAGATAGCAGGGGCCATGCGGCACGGGACCTGAGAAGCTGGCTGTGGGCCTCTTCCCTCCCTTCCTCTCGGGTCCTTCCTCCCTGTGGCTAGTGGGAAACTCAGGGGGACTTTTCCTGCAGGAAGGAGAACCAGGATGCAGCCCCCAAAGAGGATCACATGCAGGCTTGATGTGTACCAGCTCCCCTTGGCCACCTGAAATCGAGCTCCAGAATGCCTCCTCAGGGTGTCCTGGTTGCTCCATTCGGTCACAATTCCTAGGGTTTTTTTCCATTTCTTTTTTCCTATGTTTTTTAGGCCATATCTTTTTTGTGTGCCCAAGTAGGGGACCAAGTCCCTGGTGCGTAATCACACGTTCATGCTTTTCTTAGGAGGTTGTCGCATCTGATGCAGCTGGAGTGGGCTCCAGGGGGCCAGCTCTTTGAGCTTCTCACCGCCATGGACCCGCTGCGGGCACAGCGCCAGCACATAGTGGGACAGCAATCCCCTGCATCATTGAATTGTGTCCTCATTAGCTGTCGTCACATCTATCACCTTCCTCTGTGGCGGGTCCCACTGCGATTCCATTGCTCAGCACGTAGTAGGTCCTCAGTGAGGTTTTGGTGGGGAATGTGGATTGTGTTCAGTGCTGGATGCACGTCCCTTACTATCCTCTGTGGTGTCTCTTTGTCCCCATTCTCATAAGAGTCGGCTTGGAAGGACTTGGGTCCTAGACGCTGTGTACACAACAAGGAGGCCAGCCTGGGAGGGGTTGGGGCAAAGTCAAGACAAAGCTTGATTATGCCCTTGGAGAAAACCCAAACCTGGGGTTCCCTAAGGCTAAAATCGCCAGTGCCTGGCCTGCCTCGTTCCCATAAAGGGAACTTTGTGTGTGGCTCCTGGCAGGACGAGAAGGCAGCCAGCGTCTCCTGGCGCCCAGACTCTCCCTGGGAATGGGCAGGACCACCTTGGAGCCACAGCTCTGTGATGATAACTCCTGTGACCCTTGACCCCTTAGAGCTGAACCCATTTCAGACGGTCATTGTCGGATCCAGACCAGACACATTCTTTCCTGGAAAACCAAGTGGGTGGGGGTGGCAGGGATGGGGCTGTGATGGGGGCACCTTGTGAGCAGGTCTGTGCCAGGCGGGCAGTGGGGGGCTGCAGAAGCCCTGTCTGGAGCACAGCCGCCCCCCACCTGCTGCCCCCTGAATGGAGGGCTTGTGTGGACTCTCAGAGCTTGGCCCCCGGGCTCAGCGTGTGGCAGCTGTTGGAGCCTGCTGTGCTGCCACTGCTGATGGGGTTTTCCAGGAAAGGGCGGCCGGTGCAGGCTGAGAGAAGGGCTGCGGCTTCCCCCTGCTTCCTGGGTCCCAGCCAGCCCTGCACACTGGCCACAGTTTGGTCTGTGTAGGCGTGAGCTCTTGTCACATTTTGGGACCGAGTGCTCGAGGAATGAGAGGCCTGGAGGGCAGGCTGGGGGCAGAGGTGCTGCAGATCGGTTAGAGAAGGTTCCAGAGCAGGTGGGAGACAGACAGATGGACGCCTGACTGACCCTTCAGGAAGGCAGTGTAGGAGGGGAGGCCCTGGGTGTTGCTTCCACCAGGTGGCATTTCTGTGGAGTGTGGCCTTGTGGGCAGGTGGCTTCATGGAATGGAAAGAGCTACTCACTCATTCAGCGGGTATTCACAGAGCACCTGCTCTGTGCCAGGAGCTGCTCCAGGCCCTGGGACACAGAGGGGAACAAGACATCTGCCCCTGTGAAGCACATTTTCTTGTAGGGGGGTAAGTCTTAAGCAGATGGCCAAGTGAATGTCGTTGGAGAGTGCTGTGGAAGAGGCTGAGTCAGGGACAGGGGCAGGAGTGCTGGGGGCAGAGTGGCTGGGCAAGGGTCTGGTGATGAGATGACCTTTGAGCAGAGGCCTGATGGAAGTGAGGGAATAGCCAACTGGGTACCCAAGCCCAGTGTCCCTGGTACCACACAGAGGTCTTGGGATGTGCAAAGGCCCTGAGGTAGGAACTTGGCATGTGCCAGGAACAGCCAGAGGGCCAGTGAGGCAGGGTAGAGTGTGGGAGAGGAGAGGGGAGAGGAGGTGCAGGAGGCTGAGGGCCTCTGGGCCACAGAGGGCCACCTGCTTTTCACTGAGTGGAACCTCTGGAGAGTCAGGGCATAGGAGATCGGTGCCAGGGCCTGGGAGGGAGCAGCGAGGTGGTGAAGGTGGCTGGATTCTGGATAGACTGGAGGTGGAACTGACAGGGTTTGCTCCTTGACGGGCTTGGATTTCTGTACCCCACCGCCGTCCCCTGGCACATGATGTGACCACGGATAAGGTGCGCCACCGCGAGGCAGGGCTGCTCCTGTCTCCTTCAGCACTTACCTGGTACCTGCTGTGTGCCAGGCTCTGGGCTAGTGACAGAGCAAGTTGGTCCCTGCCTCCAAGGAGGGAGAGACAGGTGAGAAAAGCAGCGGTCACAGCGTCTGTGCACCTAGGACTGCGGTAACTGGGGGGCGGGGCCAGGTGCTCAGCGACTCTGAGGAGCAGGTGAATGAGTGGAGACACACACAGGTCCTGGAAGACACAGAGGGGCGTCTGCATGGCACAGGAGAGTCAGAAGGCTTTCCAGAGGGAGCCTGAGTCTGATTTCAGAGTCTCTATGGGAAGAAGGCTGATAAGAAAGCCAGGGCGTTCCAGGTGGAAGAAATAGCATGAGCAAAAAACTAGAGTCTTTAAAAAGCTTGACGTGTCAGTTTTCCAGTAGCAGGGGACAGAAAACCCAATCCAAACAGCCTCAAGCAAAAATCGGTTTGCCAAACTGTAAGCAGCTAAAAAGTCAAGGGTTTTCAGGCACGGCTGGATCCAGAGGCTCAAACCCTAGCATCTGCAGTTGCCTCTCTCTATTTAATTATCTGTTTTCTTTCTTTTTGGCCTTATTTTCAGAAGGTCATTTAAGCAAAAGTTTCAGGATTGGCTATGACGGGCCTGCATCCTCACTGTCACAGGAGTGGGTGATGCCCCACTGCAGCAGACTGAGGCCGTGTGCCCACCCCCAGGGCCTGGGGTAGAGCAGGACCTACCCACAGCCCAGGGCCAGGAGTGGGGAGAAGGGGCCTCCAAGACAGAATCGAGGTGCATCCCCAGGACAAGTGGAGCCAGGGGCTGGGCAGAGCAGTCGGATGCCCACCCCAACGTGTTAGGGACACTGTGTGGGTTTTCGCCGAGTGATGGTGTGTTTTGGCGGGGGAGGGTGGTGGCAGGGGAGGGGAATGAGGCCAGAAAGGTCATCAGAACTAGCTCATAAAATATTTTTATATGTGAGACTTTGACCATTGTCCTTGAGGGGGCGCTGTGCCTGGTCCCTCGTAGGCAGTCAGTAAACTTGCCAATGGGGCCTGTGTATTTCACGGATGGCTACCAGATGGTCTTAAGCAGGGGACTGGTGCGATCAGGTGAGCGTTTGGGAAGGCCCTGTGTGGAGCCTGGGCCGGGCTGGAGGCAGGCTGGGGGGGGTCCGTGTGGTCAGAACCTCAGGAGCGGGCTCAGCACAGAGCCTGGCCCAGGGGAGGCCCCCTGCTCCCGCTTCCTCCCGCGCAGGCTCTCGCTCGCTGCGAGGCCCCTCTCTGTGAGGCCGTCTGGACAAATTTGGGTGGCGGAGTTGAATCCTGTCATTAGCTTTCCACCAGCATCCTCTCTGCCCTCGTCTTATCCGGAGAGCCGGTGCGCTCACTTCCCTCTTTTAGCTGCCCGCTAATGTGTGTGGGATGAGCAGGGTGTGTTTCTAAAAGCAGCCAGTTGCCTGGTGGGGCTGCCTTTTCGCTTGGGTGGCCCTGCTTCCTGGGCTGGCATCAAGCTCCCTGCAGATGAATTTCTTCTCCATAGAAACTGGAGGGAAGATGTGGTCAGGTCCCTTTGTCTCCCCTGACTCTGCCCAGGAGCAGAGAAGATGCTACAAGGGTTCTGGGGTCCATGAGGTCACCCCCCACCCCACACCTCCTGTATTCTGTCTGTCCCCAGGAGTATGGCTGGGCCGGCCGCTGGCATTGGCGGGGGCAGGCAGAATGTTCTCCATGGGGCTGAATTTGCTCTTCCCTGCCTTCGGTTGGTTGGCCTTTGGTGCTCATGAGATTTTGGGATAATGAAGTGACACCCCATGGGACTGCTGGAGAAGAGCTGGGTGTGCTCCCAGCACTACCCTGAGGGCTGCTCATGCCGCTTTTCTGAGCCTGTTCCTCACCTGTGTGCCATGGGGGCCACCTGGCTTGACCCTGTGGCAGCACTTGGAGTGGCCAGAAGTGCCCACAGATGGTCAGTGGGTGCTGTCTGAGTGGTCGCCCCAAACTGCCCCTTGGACTGTGGCTGCGGGAGCAACGTGAATGGCTGAGAGGATGAGAGATGGGACGTCGCTTTCCGGGGTCACTGACTGCTTGTGGCCCAGTGTTTTCCTGGTGGGTGGGCTGGCCTGGGAGGACCGGACTGAGGGCTGGAGGGCCCCGTGCGGGAGCTGGGCGGGGGTCTGAGAACCCCTCAGAGCGGCTGTGCCCACAGCTCATCCTGCCTCTGCCGGGCGCACCTTCCAGCAGGGAGCCGGGGTGGGGTGGCCCTTGCTGTCCCGCCTGCTCACGGCCCCATGGCCGGCCGCAGCCTCTCCCCCGCCTCGCCTGGCCGAAGTGGTCACCCTGAGCCAACTGTTTCCAAGGGGCTTTCCTCAGCATTGCAGTTTAGTCTGCCTTCGTTTAAATGGAAAGACTTATTGCCTCTGAGTCAAAACACAGAAATCCCCCTGGATGTGCTGTCACTGCCACGGGAGCTGCTGGCGCCTTCCCTGGGGGGTCCCTAATCCTTCCCTTCCTGCCTACAGCAGGGTGGGGGGGGGTGTTCCTGGGTCCCGAGGTCTGGCCGCCCCCACCCCGGGGTCTTCTGGGACAGGTGTCAGGATGATGCTCATTCTTCAAAGAACCCGCCGCGTCTGTTGGGGAGGAGCCGAGCGCTGAGGGTGCGGCCGATGCCTGAGCCTGTGGCCTCTGGAGGGGCCGCTCCCTAGACGGGCCGCCGCGGGTGAGAAGGAGTTCGTGGCTGTGTTTTTATTTTTATCCCCTCCTGTTTGGTTTCTGTTTTTTGGTGTGTGTTTCGTACTGTGTCTCGTCTGTCCCTGGAGAAGCGTGGGAGCAGAGTTGTGCCCAGTTTGTCTTTTGGGTGACACGTGCTTGGAAGTTTGCTAGTCAGCTGCATAGCTAAAGAAGGGGGACGCGCTGCTGTAAATGAGGCTCTGGGCTTGAAGGGAAGGGGGTCCCTGGGGGTCCAGGGAGGCTGTGGTGGGAGGAAGTGCAGGTGCAGGGGAGGAGGGAGTGGGTGGGCGTGGGTGGGCAGACGGCAGGGTCCTGGCACATCCTGTGCTTTGGGCGCTGGGTGTCATCCCGGTGCGTGTGGACATGGGGGCCTGGGCCTGGTGGGACAGGCTCTTGGAGGAGTTTGGGGGAGAGACTTGGCCCCTGTTTCTTCCGTGGTAGACACCATTTCCTGAGGTCTAGACCAGGGGTCAGCAAACTCTGAGGCCAGATGGTAAATATGTGACTTCATGGACCATATGATCTCTGTGGCAAGTACTTGACTCTACCATTGTGGGGAGCGGGAGTGCCAGAGACAATATGTACAAAAGGGCATGACTGTGTGCCAATAAACTGTATTAGAAAAGCAGACAGTGAGGGGCCGGCCTGGTAGCATAGTGGTTAAGGTCGTGCGCTCTGCTTTGGCAGCCCAGGGTCCGCAGGTTCGGATCCCGGGCATGGACCTGCACGCTGTTCATCAGGCCATGCTGTGGTGGCATCCCACATACAAAGTGGAGGAAGACTGGCACAGATGTTAGCTCAGCGACAGTCTTCCTCAAGAAAAATTTTAGAGGAGAATTGGCAACAGATGTTAGCTCAGGGCCAATCTTCCTCACCAAAAACAAACAAACAAAACCCCAGACAGTGAGCCAGGCCCATGGGTCATCATTTGCCAAATCCTGGTCTAGATTAAGAGGACAGGCCCCACGGGGCTCAGAACCAGCCTTGGTTACCCACCTAAAAGCAGGCTCCTGACCTTGGATTCACAAATGAGTGCTCTAGTCAGACCTACACTGGGGGGGATCAGGGGCGTGGTGTGTACCCCGCAGAGACTTTGCACAGCTGGAGCAGGTCAGGAGCCCCGTAGGTCACACTGTACAACACTCACCTCTGCAGGACACTTTTGCACGTCCTTTGGAGCCAGATAAGCGCGGAGGCAGGGGCCCTGCTCATCGCAGAATCGAGAAGCAACAGAGCTGAGAGATTCAGAGGCCTCCAGACTGGCGCCCCGTGGGCTGCCGTGGGAAAATGTGGGGGAGGGGAGCCGCGTCCCCTTCTCTTCAAGCGTGGGAACCATTAGAGCTGAACAAAATCTGCCAAGCTTCTGCCCTGCAGGACTCCTCAGAGCCTTTAAGATGCTCATGGGCTTTGCGGCTCTTTAGGAGGAAAGACAGTATTTCCCCAAACTCCGAAACGAATTTTCAGGGGCTTAAGGATCTGTCCAGCCACTTAGGGGAAGAGCTGATCTCCTTTGACCCTTCAGTTTATAGGAAACCTGCTGCCCAGAGAGGCTGCTGTCTTGCTCAGGGCGATACAGATGGCTGGTGACAGTGTTGGAATGCACACTGAGTTCCTCCTCAGCCACTTGCCTGCTGGCTCGGCAAAGCATGGAGTGGAGGTGCCTCCCTAACCCCCGTCCTGATACAGAGTCACAGATGTGGGGGTCCCAGGTTGTGCTTCTGGCCTCATTCAACGGTTTTGCCAGGGGATGCGCTGCAGCCTTTCATCTGAAGCTCGCTCTGTCTCCGGGCTTCTCAGCCGTGGCACTGTCAGCAGTAGGGGCAGGATAATTTTTTGATGTGGGGGGCTGTCCTTGCACTATACGATATTTAGCAGCATCTCAGGCCTCCATGCACTAGATGCCAGTAGCACCCTCCCACCCCCAGTCGTGACCACCAAAAATGTCCCCAGGCCTGGCCAAATGTCTCCTAGGGGTAAAAATCACCCTGGTTAAGAACCACTGGTCTATCTTAAGCCAACATGTGTGGAGCCTACATTTGCTGGAATTCGCTGGTAAATGGTGGAAGGATTTGCCCGAGCTCTGATGGAGTGTACAGGAGTTCTCTCGGGGGCACGGGGCGGGGAGCAGCCATCCCAGGAGGGTTGCTGGAAGAGTCCTGAGGGTATGACACAGTACGAGGGGAACCACGGGTGCTTCTGCTCTGCTTTAGGGCCAGGGGCCCCCAGTGAGGGCTTCCTGGGTGGGGAAGGGAGAGGGAGGCAAAGCCAAGATCCTGAATGGATGGAGCGCGTGTGTGCCACAGTCAGGGGACTTCACATTAAGGCAGAAGGGAGATGACCTTGCAGGTGGGAAGTGAGGAGGGAGTGTTCTGGAAAGGCGAGGCAGGATGGTGGGTGGACAGGTGGCAGGCGTGCAGAGGCAGTGGGCGCAGGGATATTTCAGGAGGTGAGCCTAACAAGCAACCAGAACTCAGTGCTGGAGTCCCAGAGACCTCCCAGTTCTCA